ATCCATATACCTAGGAATTTTGTCATATTTGTACTTTTTAGTGTTTGTCCTTCAAAATTAATGTTCATTGTCTGGTATAATATGTCATTGAAATTTATAAAATAAGTTTTGTCAAGGTTTACAAGTAGGTTGTTATTTTTAAGCCATTCTATTATTGTTTTTACAGTACTGTTAATATCATTAATGTGATCTTTAAGTGATTGTTTACCATCTGTTTTTACTATTACAGATCGTATTACAGTCGTCAGCAAATAAAATGCATTTGTGTTTAGTTACATCCGGAAGATTATTTATATATACTAAGAACAACAGTGGTCCCAAAACGCTACCCTGTGGAACTCCATATTTGTTTTCTTTAAAATCTGATTTGTGATTTAGGACCACATGATTACTGTCTGGTTTGCTTATTTCAACAGATTGACGTCTATTTTGCAAGTAACCTTTAATCCAACTTAAAGCAGTGCCTCTAATGCCACATTTTTCCAATTTTACCAGTAATGAATTATGTGAGACAAAATCGAAAGCCTTCGACATGTCAAAGAAGAGTGCAGTTGTATAATTATTAGCATTAAGGCACGTTAGTGTCTCATTTACCATATCGAAAACAGCATGTGTAGTAGATTTTCCCCTCTGGAACCCATACTGAGTGGGATTCAGGACATGATACTTGTCAAAGAACGATGTGAGTTTAGTATGCATAATTTTTTCATATACTTTTGACAAAATTGGCACGAGCGCAATAGGGCGGTAATTGTTCAAAATTGATTTTTTGTCTTTTTTGAATAAAGGCTTAATCAAGGAAAATTTAAGTTTATCAGGAAAGATACCAGAGATTATTGATAAGTTTATTAAAAATGCCAAAACCCTACCTATTTCTTTGTTGCATGCCTTAATTACTTTAGTACAAATGCCGTCGTACCCTTCTGAGTCACTATTATTCAAGGTCATTATTACTTTATTTATATCATATTCGTCAACAGGGTGTAGATAAATAGAATTATTTAAGATTAGATTGGATTTATTTTTTGGTATATTATTTTGGATATCTTTGTTTGTCAATTCAATGAAGAAATTATTAAAAGTATTTGCGATTTGTGTAGGAATAGTAATAAATTTGTTGTCATATTCAATAAAGTCAATGTGGTTATTATATTGCGGCTTGGTATCTATTTCATCCTGTATGACCTTCCAAGTAGCTTTGCAAGTATTTTTGCTGTTTATCACATATTTATTATTAGTTATTTTTTTAGAACATAGTATGCATTTTTTAAGTAGTTTTGAATAAACTTTGTATTTGTGTTTATTTTGAGGAGTTTTTCTCCTATAGTAGTTTTTTCTTAGGACTCTATTTTTCGCGCAGCTATTCCTGATTCCCTTAGAAATCCATTTTAAATAGGATTTTGAAGAAAGTCTAACTTTTTTATATGGGAAGCAGAGTTTGTAAAGAAGGCATAGCCAATCATGAAATTTATTAAACGCAGTATTAGGTTCTGTTTCGCTGTAAACATCGGAGAAGGAAAGGCTCGCCAAATATTTTTTAAACTTATCTATATTTTCAGAAGAATAGTCCCTCCTATAGGTGTATAAGGTTTTTGGGGGGAGTAGTCTTTGATATAGTACTGAAACCAAGAATTTGCGCAGTATCGTGGTCCGATAAACAGAGAGGGAGGTTAAGTCCAGTTGCACCTTTAATATTACTAAATATATGGTCAATACATGATAGGTCTCTAGTAGGTTCCGTGATATGCTGAGTAAGATTATAATTTTGGAGAATATCTAGTAAGTTGTTGGTCACATTATTTCTTATTAAAGTATTTATGTTGATATCTCCCACAATCACAATTTTTTGCTTCGAGTGCTTATGCAAATATTTACTAAGCACAAACTCCAGTTTATCGAAAAAACATTCAAAATGCCTTTTTTTTGTAGCAGTTGAAGAACGGTATACGCAGACAATAATTATGTTGTGATAAGGTATTTTTATTGAGCAACATTCAAAATGAAAGTTGGCTGAAGCCTCTTCAAAAATGGTTACTTGCTTGAATGCTATACCTTTTTTTTACCATTATGCAGGTTCCACCCCTTTTCTTGTTTCGTGAATAGTGGGCCGCAAGTTCGTAATTATGTATATTGATATTTTTTTCCTCACCACACTTTATGAAAGTCTCTGAAAAACAAAGCACATCCGGGGACAAATCTTGATTTAGTTCCGAGAGAGTCACTTCCATAAGTTCTTTTTTTGAGGATAATCCCTGTATATTTTGATGAAGGATTACGAATAAATTGTTATTATTGTTAGGAACGAAAAAAATCATGAATTTTGTTTTCGAGTTTTTGTGTTGTTTTATTTGGTGATTCTTTTGCTTTAACAGGGAAGTAATATGGTATTGTGCCTTTTTTATATACTTGCATGTTCGCGCTATTCTTTGAAATGTAATTGATCTTAATTGAATCCTTTTTTTAATTTTAGCCCATTTTTAATATAATCGTGCTCATATTTTAGATAATCTATTTCTATATTCAATTTAGTACATATTTTATTTTTAGACGATATTGTATTTAAGCTGGTACAGTTATTCAGTAATTTGTTTATGTCAATAAAAGTACAATTTTTATAGTTTTTTACAATAAGTTTCATTTCAGCATTAAGTTTATGAACATTTAGATAATTATTTTGTTGTACGCTTAACAAAAATATTTTACAATGCTTTAAGTTACATAGCGTATTGCATAAGTTAGTTAAAAAAAGGTAAGGATTTTTGTCATTACAACCTGCAGATAATATCAGTATGTCATTATTGTTTAAAGAATCTTGTAAATAGGTGCAGCTTCTTAGTACTGCTGCTACAGCTGCTACAGCTGACCGCCTGGTTTTCGTAAAATTTAATTTATTAATAATTATATAATCATTTGTCGGTGGAAAGGGAAATTAAATCGTGTAATGGCTGGTTTAGACGATGCCTACTGCTGACTAGACAGTAGACAGCTACTCGCCTTGTCTACTCGTACGCCAATAGTTCGGCTCGCCTTGGCTGTCTACACGACACTAGTAGCTGCCGTCCAGTCTTGCGAGTTGCCGCGATGTCGAGTGAACGCTGAACGTGTTATTAAAAAAAGCACTGGCGGGCTGCCGCCGAACGCGTCTAAACGATGCGACCGACGGCCGAGCTACTGTCATGTACGAGTTGCTGACGGGTGAGCCCGCATAGTGGAATTAAAAAATGTTGAAGTAACTCGGACGCGAGCTATTGTACAACTCGCACGTGCGAGTTACTTGTAAGTGCGAGTAACTGCAGTGCAGCTACTCGGCAGGTTGACTCGTACGCTAGCTCGCACTGTGTAAACTTTAGATATAGAATACTGAGAGGCCGGCTGTTCTGCGCTTATGCTCGAAGCTGACAAGATTGGTTTTAACCAAACCAACGTCCCCAGTTAGCCTCTTAGCACGTCTTTCCACTGAGTCCAACGTTGCCAAATGGTATTTTGCAGCACCAACCCATATGTGACAGTAGTGTTACATAATTAATAAAATATATTCTTATCTCTGTGAATTTCACAGTACGCCAGCAACCTAGCATCAATCGCCCGCCGGTATCACCGAAATTATTGAATTGTTTTACCAAGGTCCCGACAGTGAAGACAAAACATCGTGAGTCGTGAGGAAACCTGCATGCCTGTGTAATTAAAAAAAATCCAAGACATATGAAGTCTTGGAATTTAAATATTGGCGCCATACATCATGGTCAGTCGTACTCTGTATCACGTCTAAATTGTGTCGTATTCAGATGTTCACCATATTATTTTTTATATAAATGCTCCTTATAAATTGCTAGCTGTTATTCCTCCGCAGCGCGGGGCGTAAATTAATTTTTAGTAATAATTGTTATAAAAAGTATCTTGTAACACGATATACACTTAAGTATTATTGTGCAAAATTTAGTAGAATTCATGTTGCCGTTCAAACGTGATTTAAGGTCATACATCCAAACTTACGATATATGAGAAAAATAATTCATACTTAAGATAGATTTCATTAGGTTGTAGCTCTTATTCTGCCGAGGAGTCCGCGTGGGAAGGTTTTTTTTATAGAATAAGGGTGACAAACGAGCACACAGTCTACTTGGTGGTAATGGCGCATCCATTACCCATAGACATCTACCGACATTTTTCCTCGATTAGGAATGAAAATGCAGATGCGTTGTCACCCCTGAGGACTAAAGATGGAATGCCTCGTTTACAGTAAGAACGGTCTCCGGTTCTCTACACTCACCATGCGAAACACAGCAGCATTAAGCTGCTATTTTACGCTGGTATTCTGTAAGAGCATGGTCCTACCCCGGTCGAACCGACCCATTCGTACTACCACGTATACTCTCCTCTTGCCTTTTTGTCCCACTAAATAGCAGTGCTTGCAATGCGGCTTAATGTTTTCTACAGCCAGTATAATTATAGGCTGCGAGCACAGAAATCTAATTACTATTTAGATTTCTGTGGCTGCGAGGCATTCCATTTTAATCCACAAAGGTTGCACCGCTTTGTAGCCTTCTTACCATCACCGGAGAGCTGTCAGTTTTTTTCCCTTGATTTTAATAAAAATGAGAATGTGTTGTCTTATATCTGTTTTATTATTACATCACGAAGCTGTAGTAAATACTTATGACCTTTATTAATTAGTGGTGCCTTGGTAGTTTAGGCCCTAAGCTATTCCTGTTTTGATGCCTAAAACTCTTTATTTTTAGTATTAACGTTTGACATTAAATTTAATAGTACTCGAGCGAACCGTATTCGAAATTTTAATGTCGTAGGTCTATTATGCCTACGAAATGAATTAAAAATTATATTTACTAATTACTGTCGGGAATATGGTTTCGGAGCAATTGCTAACTACACCCTCTATACGCTTTACTTTTAGATTGAAAAGGGATACCTGTTATTGTTACGCTTTCAAAAATTCTGTTGGTTTTCTACAGAAAAGATAAAAGATTGTGTTTGTGTTGCAGGGATGGCAGCTACGGGCGTGGCGAGTACCGCGGCGGTGGTGGTCGCGTGTCGCTGCTGGGGGGCGCGTACCTGCCGCCCCCCGCGCCCCCTGCACACCATCCACCCCCCGCGGATCCCCCTCCCTTCAAGAAAATCCGCCTCAGCGCCGAGCGACCTGCCACGCATCATCCACAGCTGCGTGTCGATACACGGGTTAGTACAGTCTAAGAATACCATATTTTGCTAGTTTTATTTATAAAATGTGCAGTACGAGAGCATGCATTATCAGTTCAATAGATGTCATAATTGTATCCTATCTGGGGCAGGGTATTAGATTTGAAGATGCACTAATGCCGGTACTTCGATTGCTAACGAAGCCCAGCCGTAAGCTTATAACATAATAGTGCTGAGGAATAGCAAAATAGAACGAGACCTCGCAGCAAAGTGACGATATCGAATAAAGCTAGCCATTCATATAATATATGCTAGTCGTGCATATAATATATGCCAGCCATACATTTAATGTCAAAGTTTTTTTTCAACCGTGTTCATATTACATTATCTTGAAAACTTTACCACTATCATCATCGCATTTTGTCATTCCTCCTAGCGCGGCTTGTATTTAGCATTCCATACTTATCAACAACTGCGTTTAACGTTTCAGGAGCCGGTGTACAATATTGTGGAGGTGCTATCACCGAACCCGCCTTCGGAGCCTACGGTAGAAGATCAAAGCTTCCGGACGACGAAAGATGACTTGCTTCAGCAAATATCTAAGGTGCATATTATGCTGAAAAGTTCACATATTTGAACAAAATTGCATAACTTAAATAAATTAGTGAATATCGATTTATTACGACCTTCCATTTGGTTGTAGTCCCATCTTGGTTTGCGATGTCCCGTGTTGGTCTACGATTTATATGTACCATGTTTATATGGGTCTTAAATAATGTGCCAATTATGTTACTGTTGTACTGTTGTCTGACATTTCGTATAAGCTGATATTGGGTTTTGTGATTGTGTAGGCGATGGGGTAGCCACCTACCACTTCTCTCACTATTTTTCATCTAAACCCATTTTTACTGGTTAAACGTAGTCGCAAGTAGCTAGCAATTTTGTGGACTTTGCTTAACCACCTCAGAGTTTAGGGCGTGACCCAATTTAAGTAAATGCATTTTTTTTAAAGTCCCGCTGGGTTTCTTGCTTGCTCTTCTCAGGACAGACGTTTCTTTCCGAACCAGTGATAAATTAAACAAAAGCGTGACTTATTATTATTAACTAATTATTATTTAATGAGTATTACTTATAATCTATATTATTTGAAAAAATTCTGTTTCTATTTATATTAATAAGTTTGAAATATCATCTAACTTTCAAATACTTGGTAAATGCTAATGTAGCGCTAATAAATGAATCTGATTTCATTGGCTACCGATGATATTAATCCGAATAATTCAAAACTAAATATTCTTAAAGCAGTTATTCTTCAATGGTATTCGATTTCTCTTGAGATTTTATAAGAAAGCAAAAAGTTAAAGTAAAGATTACGATTGGAGTCGTGATCGCATTACATTTAAATCTGTTTTAAATTATGTTTTTGTAAGAAATAAAATATTAAGACTAAGGTTACAATTTTTTTTTAATCGGCAATAGATAATGTTAGTGATCCGTTTTTTTTATTGGATAGGATGACAAACGAGCACACAGTCCACCTGATGGTAAGTGGTTGCTGTGGCCCATAAACATCTACATTTATCCTCGATTACAAATCGAAATGCAGATGCGTTGTCATTCGTAAGGACTAAGATAGAATGCCTCGTTTCCAGTAAAAAGGGTCTCCGGGTCTCTACGCTCACCATACGAAACACAGCAGCATTAAGCTACTGTTTGACGCTGGTATTCTGTGAGAGCGTGGTCCTTGCCTGGTCGAGCCGACCCATTTGTGCTACACCTATACTACTAATATAACTGCAACATGGCTTTTTCACGTAAAAAAAATGCTGGGTTGACTTCCTCATTGGTCTAATAGCCGTACACGCCGATCATTTGGTCCAGGGTTCGAAGTCAGGAGATGGCGGTGTTTCGCTACTGCGCCTCGGAAAGCATGTAAAGCTTTTGGTCTTGCGCCTAATCTCTCTCCGGGCGTGTCGGATTATCGTCCCGTACGCATAACGTGTATGTTATTAAAATGTTTACGTGGGTGGGTGCGCAGGTGGACCGCGAGATGGCGCTGTCGGAGACGACGCTGCTGAAGCTGCGCAAGAAGGCGCGCGAGCTGGAGCAGACGGCCACCAAGCCGGCGCGCGCGCCCGAACCCGAGGAGGCGCCGCCGCGCCACCGCAGCCTGCCGCAGTGCATCTACGCCGACAACCGCAAGAAGGTAACACCACCCTCCCTACTCCCCCTGGAAAATTCCCAAAATTCCCGGACTGAACACTTGAACCAACTTTATGCTACTCTTACTGACACTGCATTAGGCCCATAAACGTCAAAAAATTTTTTCGCGGCTTGAGTCGCATTTTTTGCTTTTTTCTAACAAAACTTCAGAATCAATAGAATTTCTTCGTTATGTTCACTCATTGCGTTTTAAGAAAATGTTTTTTACTTTTTATTTTTCTTTTTCTTAATATCCTGGCTTTTTACCTTCAAGACAAATTTCTACCTTTCCTCCAACACGGCACTTCGTTCTTCTACTAATCTGAAGATTTCAGTTCCATCACATTTCCCTGACTTTATCGGCAACTCTTTTACTGTTCAAGCAGACTAGTTTGTACATCCTTATCGAAGGATTGTATAGAAAAGTCCGCACTACCATGACGTCCCATAGGATGCATCATCCGAGATCGTCGGTAATGAGGCTGTACTTGCCGCGAAAGCATGGTGGGCGTGGTTTTCTGAACGCGCTCACCATGCATAATCGCGAAGTGTGCAGCCTCCGTGATTACTTCCTGGCGAGATCGGATGATCCATTCTATAATGACGTCATTTTTAGTGATAAAGGGCTTACCCCTCTATCCTTAGCCCACGAGCAATGGCAGGACCCAGCAGTGCTTAGCATTTCCGACCGGGAGATCGTATGGAAGGAGAAGGAGCTCCACGGGAGGTACTACAGGACTCTACATGAGCCTCACGTAGATACAGCCGCCTCCCTCAACTGGCTACGTTTCGGTGGCCTCTTCGGGGAAACCGAGGGTTTTGTCTATGCAATACAGGATCAGGTTATTAATACCAACAACTATCGGAGATACATCCTAAAGGATGGCACTGTCGACGTCTGTCGAGCTTGTCGCCATCCCGGGGAGTCACTTAGGCATGTCATCTCCGGTTGTTCGGCGCTTTCTAACTCTGAGTACTTGCACAGGCACAACCTAGTAGCCAGAATTCTACACCAGGAGCTCGCTCTGAAATACGGTCTCGTGCACCGGAAATTGCCGTATTACAAGTACTTGCCGGAAGCCGTGCTCGAAAAGGACCGCGCCAGGCTCTCCTGGGACCGGGCCATCATCACAGACAGGACTATTCTTGCGAATAAGCCTGATATTGTGCTGATGGACCGGGCACAGTCAAGGATATTTTTGGTCGACATTACCATTCCGTATGACTAGAACCTCGTGAAAGCCGAAACAGATAAGCAATCAAAATATCTGGACCTGACTCACGAGGTGACCGACATGTGGGGTGGTCTGCCGACCGAAATTATTCCTGTAGTCGTCTCTGCGAATGGGCTAATCACAGTTAGTCTCTCTGGTCATCTGAGGCGACTGAGACTCCGTGACGGACCGCTCCGGGCTCAAATGCGGAAGGCGGTGCTCCTTGATACTGCCCGCATCGTCCGCCGGTCTCTTTTCCTTTCACCCTAACCCTTGGCCGTTTGGTCTCCCCTGCCGAGGGCTTCCAAAAAGCATTATAAGCATCTTAGGAAAGCATTGAATACCTGCCTAATATGGTACTTGCCTTCAAAAGATTGATTCAGGACCATCTTTCGAAACCAAGTCGTCTATATAATATCAATCAAGATATATTTATATATGCTATATGTAACGATTTAATAGAAGGGGAGGAGGAGATAGCGTTTTCCTTTTCGCTTGTCAGAGTGAATTCTATTTGAATTTTAATTTACTAAATAACAGTGTACTTTTAGTATTAACGTTCCACGGCATTCAACTACTATCAAGTGGACTGCATGATTGGTTGTCATCGTTATTCTATAAAAAAGGCATAACAGTTTATGTGCGAGTAACGTGTGAGTAACTACTTGCAAGTAAAGTATTTTTAAATAGAATTAGGGTGACAACAAGTACACAGTTTATTTGATGATAAGTGGATGCTGTGTGTGATTAACAGTCAAAATTCAGATGCGTTGCTACCCCTGAGGATTAGGATGGAATGCCTCGTTACCATTATGAAGGTTTCAGGTTCTCAACACTGACTATACGAAACACTCTACTACTACTAGGTTGCTCGGTCCTACTTCAGTCGAGCCGAGGCATTTGTGCTACAAGCACAATATAGCTGCAGCGCGGCTGTAGCACGTATGGTAGGTGCGGTGATCGTTTTTTTTATGGAATAATGGTGACAAACTAGCACATAGTCAACTTGATGGTAAGTGGATGCTGTGGCCCATAGACATCTGCATTTATCCTCAAATAACAATCAAAATGTAGATGTGTTGTCACCCCTGAGGACTAAGATGGAATGCCTCCGGCCTCGTTTTTAGTAAAAAAGGGTCTTCGGATCTCTACACTCTGTATACGAAACACAGCAGTATTAAGCTGGTATTTTACGCTGATATTCTGTGGTCGCGTGGCCCTTCCCCCGTCGAGCCGAGGCATTAGTGCTACAAGCATAGTATATATTGCTGCGGCAGGCGGCGGCGGCTCACGCGGCGCTGGCGGCGCTGGGCGCGGCGGCGCGCTACCCGCTGTACAACCAGCCGCAGGACACCGAGGTCTACCACCACAACATACGCAAGCACCGCGCCTTCCGGAAGCGCCTCGCCGAACACATACGCAGGATAAAACTTGAGACTGAGAAGGTACCACTACACTTGTTATTTTTTTAATTTCTTTTTTAAAAAGAGTTGTGCCTTGTGGGTAATACTAGTGATAGCATCATTAGTAATTCTGAATAGTTCTGTGCGTGTGTTATTAACTGCAGCATTGTACGATGAAAAATAAAATACTACTTCCCTGTCCATGGAAAAGAATAATTAAACAATCAAAATATTCATGTATGAATCATGGGGCAGTGAAATGGTTAACTGCACTATTGTGAGACTTAAAATACAAAAACAAAAACACTTCGAAGACAGAGAAGTCCGCTAGCCCGCATTGAATGGCGTGGCAGCGTTGCGTACTTTTCGTTGCCCTACGTACGAACCGAAATTAGGAAATTCCATCCTTTTTTAGCGTCCTGGATGTGTGATTTTCACACTTTTTAAACGAGCACTGAGGCATGTTTACCGTCGGAGCGTTCGAATGTAACTAGATTAAAAGTGCACCCAAATGTTCGAATGCTCATTTGGTGAGGTCGTTTTTTGTCACTGATTGTGTATCTAGTTTTTTATTAGCGATCGATGAAAATAAACAATAAAAATTGAAAAAATCGGAAGAAAGATATAAATACATTTACTTCAAAACTAAATTGCTAGAGACATTTCTATCACAACGAAATACCCTTTAAAGGAGAAAAAAACATATAACTCGGTCATTTGCACCTCGCTCGATGACGTCACATTCACGGTACGGTGTGCTCAATAAGCATCTCTAGAAATATGATATTTTGTACCCGACTGTCGGATGTGTATGTATGAAGTTTAGATTGACGGATTTTGTGATAGAATATGTATTTATTAATTAATAAATGAATAATAATACAAAATACAAGATTAGGTCCTATGTATGGTTTTAATTTTAGTGATGGAAAATTAATAAAACAGTACTGAATGTAAAAAATATAATTATTATTAAATCATGTTTTTACACTATTATAAATTATAATTACTAGCGATATAAGTGCCACTGCTGGTGATAATGTTATTTCTTAGAGGGTTTACGCGAAGTGTCCGCCGCGCTGCCCAAATGCGTGTTGACGAACTTCACATGTCTTCGAGTTTAATATTTTTTTTTCTTATTCCCGACGTCGCGGTTTCCTCACGATGTTTTCGGGGACTTCACCTCCGAGTCACGTGGTAAATCAGAACCTTAAAATTGCAATTAACAATTGTCATTGGTGCCGGCGGGGATCTAGCATGAACGACTATCCGGGTTAGCTCGCGTTCTGTTTTAATATTGTACAGGATCGTTAACCACTGTAGCTACCACGGCTCCACACTATTGCTAAATTAGATTTTGGGAATTATGTTAAATACGCGACAGTAAAGTGTTTTAACAGTGATGATGATGACAATAAAAATGCAATGAGTAATTACCAATTATATATAGTGATAATAACTAGTTAAACAGTAGTCATTACCACTTTAAACAACAAGATGCTAACCGTACTGACGCGATCGGGGCGAGCGCGGCGTGGTGAAGGGGGCGCGAGAGGGGCATCGCACTCCAGCGAGGTGCAGAGATATTGGGTGACCGTTTGGCAGAAAAAAGCGCTAGCAAGCGCTTACTAGCGCTAAAATAGTTTTCGGCCAGGACACGATTGCTACTTCAGTAGCGCTGACACAATCCGCCATTTTGCTTATTTAATTTGTTTGTTTTGAAGTAGAGTTTATAAGTCGTTTTTTGCAATATTAGTTTTAAGTAATATAATGACATGAATAGACATATACATGTTATTAAAAATTCATGATTGGTAAGCTTTTAATATGAATACTTCACAAACATATATTCAAATTAGGTTAGGTTCCCCAGTTAAAACTAACATCGTGTCCTAGAGGAAAATAGCTACTTACGATTTGACAGCGCTTACCGCTTACGATCGCCATTTTGTTTACAAGCGCTTGCTAGCGCTTTTTTCTGCCAAACGCACCCATTGTGACCGTGTTGTGAATGATAACCGTAGCAAATTATATAGCCAGAGTCCTCACTTTCATGTACTACAACTGTGTAGTTAAGGTGTTAGAATATCCACTAACCAATTTTGTCTCGCAAGTGTTACATAAGGCGATAGGGGAAAAGCTATGTAGCAGTAGCTTCAACTTTCATAAACGTCATCATCAACTTTAACTGCTGTTGTCAACCCGTCTGAGAACCATTCCAAGATCCCCAGACAGTAATGGGCTGTAATAGATAGATGGACTGGTTTTAATAAGTAAAATAAAAACAAAATTACAGCAAAAGTTGGTTTCTTGTTCTTTTAGAAAGTTAATTAAGTCGTATATTCTTTCATATTGCGGAAGCTCATCGATACATACATCATTTGCGCAAGTACGAACATCCAAACCTGGAACAATCATTTGCAGGCCGTACAGGTACTTGTTCCGTGCAGGATTCCAACATGCGGCCGTCAGTGCTACAACAATACTAAGCCAGTACGCTACCGTGCTGTACTCGAGTCATGATATATAAATTAGTTGCAGCTATTTTGTCTAATGCATAGTTGGGAGAAATTCCCATGATAGCCCTGCGCCTAACAGGCGCGGCCATTGTGACATATTCCCTTAATTGTAAACGGGGTCCGTCCTGCAATCAATGTGACTGTACAATGTTAGTTTCATAGTTGATGATTTTATGCCTCTAAAAATATAACGGGGTTTTTATAATTAATTACAGCGAGAGGACGCGTTAGCGGAAGAGTACAGCAGAAGAGCAGCAGAGTGGATGCGCAGGGTCGAGCGGATAGAACAGGGACAGAAGAGGAAAACTAAGGACGCGAGAAATCGAGAATTCTTTGAAAAGGTAACCTTGAGGGCATTTTTAAACTAAACTTTCTAACAATAAAGTTTGGTAATTAATATATCTATAGAAGTATAGTTTCATCGTTTCTCTTTGTACACTGATATACTTATGGTAAAATAACTCTTATCATCGAAATTCGTTCTATTAGCAGTGATATTTGATTTTTTTCTTTATTGTTAGCATACTATAAGATTTAAATGAAACAATAAAATATGTGTTTAAAAACTTCAAATTACAATGTAAAATATGTAGCATTTGTTAAAAGTTTCACTTTTGTATTTTAATTATACACTATATATATACTACTAGCTTTCTGCCCTTTTCGATGACCCTTTGTCATGTTTTATTAAAAATCAATAAATTCGCAATAAATAAATAATTGTGGGTCACTCATGAGCAGAAAACTATCCTATCTCTCAAATTGGACCAAACTGCACAAAGTATGCAAATTTGACTAAAATCGGTTAAGTAGTTTAGGAGTTCATCGCGGACAAAGAACGTGACACGTAATTTATATATTACATAAGATAAGATAAAAATGTTTTTATATGCTAGGGTATTTTACAAATTTTTACTATAGTCTTTGCGTTGTATCATGGTGCTCACGCCTATGAAGTTGAAGTTTCAAATTTTTTTAAGATAAAATGTCTTACAAATATTGTTGTAATTCATGGATGGGTACCGCATTTACGATAGTGATAATAAACTATGCCATGCCATAACGAACAACCACACTCTATAAAAAGTCGAATATATAAGAATCACGTAAATATATATTGAAATTGGAACTAATCGTTCAATAAATTTTGATTTACTACTTTAATATGTAGTATTTCCGATGCGTGGATGATAAATTATTCGTTGGTCAGCTCGGGCAAAAAAAATTATAAAGCAAATTGCGCATTGTGTCAAACAGACTTGATCATAACTCATAGTGGTCAAAATGTCTACAAAAACCCTATTCTTTATTTTTATTTTATTAGATTTGTAAACCAAATTCTCGATTATTTGTATCCTCCGTCCTGATATTAGGCCCATTGGACCTGGAAACACTAATACATATATAGTGAACGGCGCTATCACTCGTACTTTAAAAAGCTGCCGGTGCAGTTAACGCCGTACTGAAAATTATAGATGCTGGAAGTCATTTCATTTGTTTAAATGTTAATATGAATTTTGCAATCTACATGAAATATAATATGATTTTTATTTTCAAATTAATACATAGTATAATCTATAAAATGAGGTGTCTGTTTGTAATGTCAAAATAACAACCTTTTACTAAATGCATAAGAAAGTATATACATAAATGTTTGTCTGTCTGTTTGTTTGCTGCGGCTGGCGGCGCCGCAGGAAGCTGATGTAGGCAGCAACACAGGCTAATTTTATTTTAGAAAAAAATTTGGATTCCGCGCAAAAATTTGAAATACATGGAATCCAATCGTAATGAATACGACGCGGGTAAAGTTGCGGGAACAGCTATTATTTAAATATTACATCATAATTTGTATATTATAATATAATATTTAAATATATATTTAATAGCTGTTCCCGCATATTTATAAAGAAATATATGTTTCGGTTTTAATTTTTATGTCGATAGCTAATCGCTAATTTTTGCATTGTTAATCGACGTTTTTAAATCGATTTAACATTGTTCCATCTCTAGACACACCAAACTGTAAGCTGTCACTCGTACCATGCTATAACGCAAAGAGGTTGGTAGGACTTCATTTCCATCGGGGAGTCCGCTTGAGTGCTTACCACCCTCTCACCCTCTCGCTTTTACTTTATTACCTATTTCTGCCGCAAAATAGCAGTGAAAACTAAAAAACTAAAAGCTATAAAGGGCCGGTATAATAATGGGCTGTTGTATACATTCCATCTTATTTTTAACAAGTGACAAGGCATCTGTAAGCTTCTTTATTTGAAGTTAACTGTATTATCCCATGAGTGTTGTAGGAGGTGACAACAAGGAAACGGTACGGATATTGAACAGTAGGATCTTTCTCATAATATTATAAGTAATAAAGAAGCTGTACTATTTGAGTGAGAACTCAATAAGAATTTATTAATTTTCATATTCAATAAAAACATTACGGCTACTAACCTGCCTGCAAAGCCTGGCACTCACTCAGTCACTACTCACTGCAGCCCATCGCAACACCACGGCAGAACATAGGGATCCTGACAGATTGCCGCTAAGTACAATCTTGAGCCACCTGCATCCATTGACTTCCCGCGTATGTTTCACTAGGTCATTACGCCATCTATTGAAGGATAGCCCATCACTGCGCTTTACGAGATTGCTACTCGAGAACTTATTTTCCTTTCAGTTGTCGAGTTTTCAAGCTATATACATAGTTGATCCATTGGCATTACAGCTTACTGACAAGGCTGTAGGGATTTTCATTAAAACGACAACGCATTCCTGTAGCCGTCTTTGTTTAAAATTGGGTACAGGTGTCCGTCAACTGCATTAGCCATTTACCATGAGGTGGACTATGAAAAAAAATGTATATAAAATACTTTACTTCAATATAGAAGTAGGAACGGTCAGAATTATTTCGCTGTGATGAAATGTAATATGAAGATCAATCTGAGTATATTGGTGAATATGTTTGTAATTTATTTGCTGAATATTCGCAATATACTTTTCGTCTTCCTAACTCTAAAACCTGTCAGTCAAACCTTGACAGTCAATACCCGAATAGGTATATTAACCCAGATATTACTGAAACTTTTTTTGTTTCAGAATTAACTGATTTTTAATATGTTGTACCAAAACGATGTAGTATTCATGAAAAAATATTTAAAAAAATATTCGTGGTCCGTAAAAGCCGGAAAATGAGTGGCGTTATAACGGCCGGTAGTAAGATCGGCTACTAAAAGTATAACATTTTTGGAATTAAATAAAACACAAAACATATGCTTACAATGGTTTATTTGCAGAGAATCTAAACTTTGGTATGATAGGAAATAAAACATATTTTTGGGTGTAAATACAGCTGACACTTACGACAAATAAAATTGTTTTTTTTTTACAAATAGTGCAGCGGCTTTGAGATTCTTCATATTCAATTAGATGATCAATGCGATCGTATCGCGAGGTTTCTCTTTAGTTGCTGGAAGTATGGCAAGGTCCCGGTCCCTGTTTTTCGGTTCTTTTATACGTCTCCTATAATCCTCTAGCAACTACTCTACGAAAAGTTAAGAGGTCGTATTCGCCACCATCGCTTTTGTACAACTGCCAGGAATTGTGGGTAGCCATATCCAAGCTATGACAAAATAACGAAAAATACCATTTTTTCCCCGGATCGAAGTTCTGTATAAGCCAATATTTTGGTCAGTTCCATCGACTCCACCCATATTTTCGTTGTATGATTTTATGATAGCAGGTTGGTCAATAAACACATATCTTTTCAATTGTTGAGAATATCGCTTGGCTTTGTGAAGCGGCTCAATTGTTTCCGCATTAGAGACGACACTTACGACACTATTGTCATTCCATTTGCAGACTAAGATCTGCTTGGGTTGACTAGACTTATAGACGAATGTGCCCCTTTCTGTTTTTTTGAAAACCTTGTTTTCAGGTAGTGGGCATCTAGAGGTACGATTCTCACGAATAGTTCCTGTAGCTTTCAATCCTCTATTACTCAATTCGTGAAAAAGAGGGATAGAAGAAAAAATGTTATCAAAAAGTAAATGAAATTGAGTGTTTGGGTAGAACGATTGTAAAACATCAGCAAACCCCAAAATTACACTTGCCGCTAATTCAAATTGTTTATAGCATGCTGGAATATTTGAAAAATGTCCCTGGTATGGGTCAAACCAAAAAACATACCCCAACCTAGTTGCACCTACCCACAGTTCATACCCCCATCGGATTGGTTTCCCGCGTATAAATTGTTTGCAACTATGGCCTCCATAGTATGGTACCATAGCTTCGTCAATACTATAGTTTTGTTCAAAAGGTGCCATGTCTGAGAAAATTTTATTTAGTAAATCAAACAAAGGCCTAAGTTTCGAAAATTTATCTATCTGTACGAAAGACATTGTTGTCACAGCAATGTAAGTGTTTCATTATCATTGTGAAACGATCCCTAGACATGGCATTATAAACAAGATCAAAGTGAGTATCAGAAGATTTCTCGCAATACATATACCTGCGTGGTACCACGACATAACCGTTGTATAAAAGTATACCCAAAAAACACATTCATTCCTGAAGTAGTTATATTAGCGATGACATTCCTTTGGCTTGCGTAAAGATTAGAGTAATGTACCAAAATTTCGATTACTTCATCATTCACCACTCATAGTTAGTACAAAGGTGACTGTAGATTTTTTGTGCCCTCACGATCCTGCCACTGTGAAAATTCACTTGGATTGTGCCTGTTGCGTAACGTATACTGTTGGGTTTTGCTTACACTAAGAGTGACGTTCCTCGATGAACAGCTTATAGATGGAGTGGAGCAAGAAGTAGAAGATATCTGTTGATCCAAATCTTCTGGCAAGCATTCATTGGCATTGCGTATTCTTTTTGCTAACACAGACAAAGATAAATCATTTTCAGAATCGTCACTGTCTGAAAACGTATCATCATATGTTGTGAATTCAGTGGATTTGGGTTCTTTGTTGACAAATGATGAAGTCCAAAGTTGACAAATGTTCGTTTATTCAGCAGAGTTTCAAAAGGTACCTGTCAATATACAATTGAATCAGTATTTAACTTTCACAATTTTAATAAAGAGAAATATTCAAGACTTTATACATAAGCAATTTGTTCTTTATTTACAATTATTACATGTTCTGTGAAAGAAATGTATTAACAAAGTTTAGCACGTGGCGACTAATTTTGAGTGCAAAATTACAGCTTAAATTGATACAAAATGAACATACCTTTTGAACGCTTTGATAATACTTGTTTTGTTGAACAAAACTCTTGACAAATAATCAACGGATTGTTGTTCAATACTTTACAATTTTCAGAATTACAATTTGGAGCACGTTTGCCTTTCGCCATCAAGTTTCGCTTTTTCCATAGAGTAGAGTAATATATGGCTTTGTCGCATGAAGTTAACAAAAAGTAGGCTTGCCAACTTAATTACACAAAATATGAGAATACATTATTGCCAACTTAGACTCTATATAAAACGAAAGTAAAGTGTGAAGGAGGATAGGATCAAAGTTGGTCTAGGTCAGGTCAGCTGTCAATTGATCAATTCTCAACATCATAAGTAATCTCTGATGGAGCTCTTAACTGGGAACCTGAAAAGTAATAAATACATTATACAATTGATTGTGAGTTCAGTGACTGAAATGAATTTCGTAATATGCTCAAAAGAAATCACCAAACCTGGGAGATTATGTAATGTCACAAATTCTTCATCACCAGAATCTTCGTCTGTTATTTCGTTATTTGGATCTTTCGGTGGAAAAATGGTAATTTCACTGGGCAGATCGTCATCAGAATCTATATTGTGTAATGCATCAACTATGTAGTTGAGATTCAAAGGTCGTTTCGTTAGTGATCTAAAACATAATAGTAATAATAAATAGACGTTAATTTTACTACCAGGCATTATAACGCCACAAGTTTTTACATAAGATAATTTTCATGAAAAACCGTGACATTCAAGTTTATTTTATGTTACATTTATATTACAATAACACATTAAAAGGATTCTACGTTGTAGTGTTTAAAACTTTATAAGTATATTTAAAGACCTTACCTTTTTGAAGCCATGTCGCAAAGCAATCACACTGTTAATTTAAAACACGTCTTAACTTCAAAATAATGGACGCACTGTGACAAATAGTAGGTGCACATTAAAGACGGACCGTTTCTGATGAGGGTAATGTAAGACGATCTTTGTTTATACAACATTGAACATATAAATTTGGCGGGTACATTTATCATTCAATTAGTGGCGTTATAAAGGACGGTAGTAACAAGTGGGTTAAGTAACCTAGATATAAATCTCAAAGAGATAGCAACATTACTTAAAACCACAAATCTAAACAATGGTGCCAGGCCTGATGGCATAGTCCATTTTTTCATAAGACAATGTGTAGACAATTTAGTATTGCCAAGTGTACGGTATTACGACCTAAAGCGGGGAATTCACCAGACGGACTTGTCTGCAGAAATGCCTGCCGGACTTCGCTACTATAGGTGTGTGCAAAGTTTGATAGTGCGTTGCAGTCGGTCTGGCAGATTTGCCTGTTGAACGTCCGCGCGATCTCATTTTGTCTGCGCGGGCAGAGATGTACCCGAACGTGAATGTTAACTGCGGGCTGTCTGTTCACAAACACAAGAGCGACAGCAACCAGTGCACACGGTCTTTTTTTATTATTTAACAAACTTTGGAGATTTTTAATTTGCAATGAGTTTTAATGATAAGAAAATATTCTGGGAAGAGTTTATACGACTCTATATCCTTGCGCAAGTAATTGTACAGGTCTCCTGGTTCATGAATTTCTAATTCTTTATGTAAATTGATATAGCTAGACTTATTTGTATTTTTATACCATTCTTTGCACCGAATTAATAATAAATAAATAATAAGCATTGCAAGTCTGCGTTGTCATCTTAATGTCACAACTTAACTGACGAGCAAATGGAAATCCGCATTTGTAACGCCAGCCATAACATGAAAGCGGTGAACGATCTAATTTAAAAAATTACAGGTCTATATCTAAATTAAGCATCTTTGCTAAAATATTTGAAAAAATATTCCGTTAGGTGTACGTCGCATTATAGTCATTTTTACTCCGGGACGACATGGATTTTTAAAATGAAGGTTGACTGCGTCCAATCTGATAGTTTTTAATGATTAATCCTTCTTACAAATGGAATCAGGAGCATAAGTTGATACTATATTTTTCAGTAAAGCTTTTAATCGAAGCTTTATTAAGCCGGTACGGTACGGCAAAATATACAGATGGTTTTCATCGTATATTAAATAATGGATTCCAGGCGGTCCCAATATATGGGTTTACGTCCGCGTGGATGGCAAGTCGTTATGGTGTGCCTCAACGATCTTAGTTGTTATTTTTATTGGTGTTTGTTATTTTTATTAATGACACATTACTTTATGTTTTGAACATGCCAGAGTGTTATTAAACGTATTAAAGTTTAATCTATGAATGATGTAGGAGTAGTCCAAGATTCAAAGGTTTTGTCTGATAAACTAATTTACATTACAAATTTTTATTATTGTAAATGTAAATGATTACAAAGTAAAAAAGGCCTTTAAATCTCTCGGTATTATTATAAGATCAACGAACGACTTAAAAATCTATTAAAATCATTAAAGTTATTTTCTGTGCTTAGGTGCGTAGTATTCTTGAATATGCCTCTAAAGACCGATTTACACTTCGACAAGTACAGTAGCGAGTTAACTTGCGAACCTGGCGAGTTAAGTTTGAACCTCGTTTGAAAGGCAATAAGCGAGTTAAGTAGCAAGTTAACGATTAAGTTGAACGGGATAGCCGGCCGAGCTATTTTTCGGCGAGTTAACTTGCGAAGTGCTGCCCTCCCGCGCGTCTCCCGCCACCCGCAACTAAAGTCGCCGTTCGTGTAAACGGGCGAGTTTAGTTCAGTGCATAAGTTGACAGGACGCAACGTTTGCGCGCCAAAACGTACAATTGTACTTTTATAATTAAACTCGTATTTTATATGATATGATACTGTTTATTGAATATTTATACGTTTTATATTGAGTTTTAATAATAAAATTGACGGAAGATATCACGGATAAATTTGTACAGGAGTATTTAGAACACGAATGTTTATAATATAATAGTAGAAGTTCAAATTGTAAAATTAAACCTGCTCGAGATGCTGCACTCATGAAAATTTTAAAAACTTCTTTAACAACAATCATTAATACTTCTCTGAGTGGATCATTTAATTCTTGACGTAATCTTAGAACCATCTTAAAAGAAAACCAGAAAAATTCTGTAGTCTTGAAACGTCATACTCCAATGAACTCTATGAACTAATGTCCTTAACTAAACTCGCCACGAAGACATTGTTTGATCGCTACTGCCCACTTAACCGTTTACTGTCAACTGCTCTGTAACTAAGCTCGTTACTGTACTTGTTGAAGTGTAAATCGGTCTTAAGGTCCGGAATCCGCGATATGACGTGTATGTTTTCCGCATTGAATCCATACAAAAAGGTTTCTAAAAACCGCTTTACACTTCGACAAGTACAGTAGCGGGTTAACTTGCCAATCTGGCGAGTTAAGTAGAGAATCTCGTTTTAACGGCAATAAGTGAGTTAAGTAGCAAATTATCAATTAGGTTGAACGGGATAGCCCTATAGGAGACCGGTCTATTTTTCGGCGAGTCCTCCCGCGCGTGCCCGCCACCCGCAATAAAACTCGCCGCTCGAGCTTAGTTCAGTGCATAAGTATACAGGTGTAACGTGTTCGCGTTGAACCCTCAAAATATAAAATTGTACTTTTTTAACTAAACTCGCCACGAAGATATTTAAACGCTACTGTCCACTTAACCGTTTACTGTCAACTGCCCTGTAACTAAACTCGCTACTGTACTTGTCGAAGTATAAATTGGCCCTAAGATATTTACAGTTTAAATATAAGCGAGTAGATCATGGATACGAAACAAGGTGTAGAATTAATCACTTTTTTACCGTTGTCTGTCTGTTGAAAATTGTAAATGGTCTCATAAACTGCCCTTCGTTATTAGAGCAAGTTAACATCTGGGTACCACACAAATTATCTATAAGACGTACCCAGTCTCTAGCAATATCTAGAGCTAACACTCATTATCGTCACAACTACTTCTTTAATCGGTGCAAGTAACTATTTCAATTAATTCTCACTATGTAGTAGGTAGCAGCTACTTGAAATTATTTTGGTCTAAACCTTCAAATATCAACGACCTGTTTGACTCAGAGATTTTCTGCACCCATTCTATGCGTGCCACTATTTTTTTTGTACATTTTCCCCATTTTTTGTATTTTTGTAATTGTAAGAAATGTAGCAAAGCTGTGTGTGTATAAAATACTGAACACGAGCAAATATCCATGTCAATTCCAAAAGGTCGTACCCCATTATGAGTGTGATTATACTACTAGTTCGAAAAAGTCCTGAGAAGAACTAGTACGAGATCTCAGATGGTTTAAATTTTTTTATGACTGTGTACACAGGATAGAGTGATGACCTGGTAAGACATGAAGAAAGTCGATGAATGTACGTGGCTCAGGACCGTCCTTTTTGCGTTTCTTGGGGGAGGCAGTATATACGAGCAGTGGACTCGTGAAGGCCTGTAATGATGATGGTGATGATGATATGCGTAGGTGTTCCCGGAGCTGCGAAAGCAGCGCGAGGAGCGCGAGCGGTTCAACCGGCTGGGTGCGCGTGTCAAGTCAGAGGCCGAGCTGGAGGAGATCGCGGACGGACTGCACGAGCAGGAGCACGAGGACAAGAAGATGCGCTCGCTCACCGTGGTGCCGCCGCTGCTGCGAGACCGCGAGCGCGCGCCGCCTCCGCTTACCAACCGTGAGTACCAGCGGCCACGTGCACCGTAGCAGCACGAGGACAAGAAGATGCGTTCGCTCACCGTGGTGCCGCCACTGCTGCGCGACCGCGAGCGCGCGCCGCCTCCGCTTACCAACCGTGAGTACCAGCGGCCACGTGCACCGTAGCAGCACGAGGACAAGAAGATGCGCTCGCTCACCGTGGTGCCGCCACTGCTGCGCGACCGCGAGCGCGCGCCGCCTCCGTTTACCAACCGTGAGTACCAGCGGCCACGTGCTGCCACGTGCACCGTAGCAGCACGAGGACAAGAAGATGCGCTCGCTCATCGAGGTGCCGCCGCTGCTGCGCGACCGCGAACGCGCGCCGCCTCCGCTTACCAACCGTGAGTACCAGCGGCCACGTGCACCGTAGCAGCACGAGGACAAGAAGATGCGCTCGCTCATCGAGGTGCCGCCGCTGCTGCGCGACCGCGAGCGCGCGCCGCTTCCGCTTACCAACCGTGAGTACCAGCGGCCACGTGCAACGTAGCAGCACGAGGACAAGAAGATGCGCTCGCTCACCGAGGTGCCGCCGCTGCTACGCGACCGCGAGCGCGCGCCGCATCCGCTTACCAACCGTGAGTACCAGCGGCCACGTGCCATCACCGTAGCAGCACGAGGACAAGAAGATGCGCTCGCTCACCGTGGTGCCGCCGCTGCTACGCGACCGCGAGCGCGCGCCGCTTCCGCTTACCAACCGTGAGTACCAGCGGCCACGTGCACCGTAGCAGCACGAGGACAAGAAGATGCGCTCGCTCACCGAGGTGCCGCCGCTGCTACGCGACCGCGAGCGCGCGCCGCGTCCGCTTACCAACCGTGAGTACCAGCGGTGGCCACGTGCACCGTAGCAGCACGAGGACAAGAAGATGCGCTCGCTCATCGAGGTGCCGCCGCTGCTACGCGACCGCGAGCGCGCGCCGCCTCCGCTTACCATCCGTGAGTACCAGCGGCCACGTGCACCGTAGCAGCACGAGGACAAGAAGATGCGCTCGCTCATCGTGGTGCCGACGCTGCTGCGCGACCACGAGCGCGCGCCGCCTCCGCTTACTGACCGTGAGTACCAGCGGTCACGTGCTGCCACGTGCACCGTAGCAGCACGAGGACAAGAAGATGCGCACGCTAACGTCGCTGGCGGAGGTAAGGGCGGTAACATTGGTGTTCGATTCGATTCTGGCCTGCATCATGTATCATTTAGCAATATTTTTAAATTAAGACACGGATTCGCTACCACAATAGTTTATTTTAATTTTATAGAATTAAATTGACAAACGAACACACAGCCCACGAGAGACACCTACATTTATCGTCGATTAAAATCAATCGTCTTAGTCCTCAGGGGTGACAACGCATCTGCATTTTGATTCTTAATTGAAAATAGTTGTAGATATCTATGGGGTATGGGCTACAGCAGCCATCTACCATCAGGTGGACTGTGTGCTCGTTTGTCATTCTAATTCTATAAAATAAAATATAAACTCTCGTGAGAGCGGATCCTTGTCTTAATTTGAAGGGTTTTTTGTCACCCTTCTATAAAAAAGCACTAAGTACTATAATCTTCGCTACACAATTAACAGCTCTGAATAGAGTCACACTACACGCGTTTTATGGCACCACCACTAACAATGTACCAAATCATATACAGCCAGAATGAACCATGTGACATTATTTGAAATAAATGTCGGCACATTGCTTGATGGGGAAAGCTTGCGCATCGCCGTAGGAATCCGTCTAGGAGTGGCTATTTGTCAACTTCACCAGTGCCCCTGTGGTAGCAGCGTCGATGAGTTTGGGCTCCACGGACTTTCATGCAAGAAAAGTGCAGGTAGGTTTTCCCGTCACGGTTCTTTGAACGAAATCATCCGAAGGGCTCTTGTCTCTATAAATATCCCCTCGGTTTTAGAGCCTTGCGGGATATTTAGAGACGATGGCAAGAGACGCGACGGTATGACTTTGGTCCCTTGTGAGAGAGGTAAAGCCCTAGTGTGGGATGCTACTTGCGTTGACACTTTGGCGGCCTCTCATCTCAAGGGTACCTCTTTTAGAGCCGGGGCGGCATCAGAGGCAGCTGAATTTAGTAAATGACGCAAATATGAGTCTTTGAGAAATGACTACATATTTGTGCCATTTGCTGTAGAGACTATCGGTCCGTGGGGTCCACGTGCAATGAAATTTCTAAAGGAACTGTACCCACGACTAGTCGTCGCTGCTGGTGATAAGAGGGCTGGTTCTTTCCTCGCTCAAAGGCTAAGTATAGCTATTCAGCGAGGAAACGCAGCCAGCGTTCTTGGCACTATACCACGGGGAGCAGGTCTTTTTGACGATTTAAATTTTTAGTTTTAGATTTTCTATATTATAGTTTCTTCTTTTATATTGTATATAATTAATTTTAATCGTAAATATTATATAATTTTTATTATTTTAGTTAAGTTCTTTATTATAATTTTTGTAACTTAAATTAAAAATTATACATAATATATTGTACACATAATATACACTTTGTGAGCAAATTCAAGAAATGTCAGTAAAAATAAATGTTACAATTACATAGTACAATGGTATCTTTCTTGTGAAAAAAAAACTTATTTCTTATTAAAATCTGAAAGCGCATTATTATTATTGAATAAAATCTCTCTTTGGCAGTGCGTTGCATGGACATGGAGACGGAGCACAAAGAGCTGCAGATGCGCAACGTCTGGTCCCAGGCGGAGCGCGAGCTTTTTCGTGAGAAGTACCTGCAGCACCCCAAGAACTTCGGCCAGATCGCCTCTTTTCTACCCAGGAAGAGCGTCAGGGATTGCGTCAGGTTTGTCTTAACGTATTTCTTTTCAACTAACTTAAAGAAGGAGGAAGTTATCAATCCTACTACATTTTTGGAAGTACATTATGTAACACACAGTTACATCTGATTGGTGAGTGAGGCTCTGATGACAAATTGCTGATGAAGGGACCGGTGTAACTAATGCGATTGTATTTTATCCGTGCTCATCATCAAACAAATCCACTTCTCCCTGTTTATCCATCGACCTTTCTCTGTTTTGCCTAAAGCCGCGTATCGATTACGCACTCCAAGAGTTCGATCATTAACACGCGTTCCAGCCGCGTAAAATGGATACCGCCTTGGAACGCGCGACAAATTGTTCATTGGAACTCTCAAACGTGGAGCGGGCCGTTCCATCTGGTGTCAGTTTCTAACGCGTATCAAAATAGCAAAATATAGGCACGCGCGCCAGTTCGGACGGTTGTTTTTATCAGTCGTTGTGTTCCGAGCTACGAATAACCAAAGTTGTCGTAATTTGATAAATTTATATGGTCCAAATGAAATGCTGTGGAATAGCAAAAGTCGTTTTTATCATAATAAAGCGCTTGAAGATGGTGCATGGAGAGAAATATGAAAACGGCAACTTTTCGTATACGACCGGCATCCATGTTGAACGGTCAAACACTGGAACAGCTGCCGCGCGCGCCAGGCACGCCTAGTTAATATACTTACTCACCATTAGAAACATGTTCGGCGGAACGCACTGGTCGGCGCGGTCGTTCATGGCGCGCACGCCAGGAGCGCGTAATCGCGGAAAGCGCGGAGAAAATGGTTTATGACATTAAGTTTGTCTTATGTATTACTTTATGCATTAAAGTATAATTAAAGAAATAAATAAATAAAACCGCCCAGTGTAGTGAGTATTAGCAAATCATTAAAATAATGTTGTAACACCTGTAGGAACGTCCTTCGAAATACCTATGTCCAACATTAGACTAAAGAGAATATCCGGACAGCGCTTAAACCATATAAATGTATTCCTTTGATTTTCTCCCTGGATATTTTTTTTACTATACGATCTATATTTTCCACTGTTATGTTTGTATGTGATTTGTTTTATTCGAAAATAGTAATTTTAAAAACTAGAACCTTCTAAATGAACTAATATAACACAGTTGTATGAGTACCGCCGTTAGCAGACGGTGGATACTAGATATCAAACAAAAACAAAAATAACGCAGCTATAATTGTTATTATACTCGTATTATTCTTGAAACAAATCGCCAATACCACCAATAATGTAGGAGAAAACGTCTCGTATTCCCAGATGATGATTCCGTCCATTTTTCATAGGCTTTATTAGTCTGAGCTGCAGTTGTCTTTCAGTTAGCTATATTATTGTTACGCGCCTTAGTCGACGGCACTAGCGCCATCTAGTCTCGAACCGAAGAACTAAACTTCTTAAAGTTGAAACTCGTACTCTCGGTACCTTGCGTATGTTTACTTGAATATTCTGGATATTTCGCTGCTAATTTATATTTATAGGCGCTGCGAGATGCGATCGGGGAAGTATTGAATTTGGCGAGACAAGCGAATCTTCGGAGCGGAATAAAGTGAATCAGTGTGATTAATTATTAGTGTTTTAAGTTTTAATTGGTGTAAATAAAATTAAAGTGTTAATTTAGGTAATTATATCGGCAATTTTTACTGTCACGAACCTCAAGCTCGTAACATTATTATATCAGTTAGCTATATTACAACAAGGTTTTCTTAACAAAACACCAAATTAAACAGTACAACAACATCTAATCTCTTGCTATTTACGGATTGATTGGTAATAAGTATAGTATTTTCAATGAAATAAAAAAAGGTAATAACGTAAAGGCTATGTTCGCAAAATCAAGCAAAACCTTTGATCATCTAAGCTCTAGCCTATTGTATGTACTCTTAATAAAATTAGCAGGATCTGACATTAGTGGTGATCAATCTATATAACTTGCATTCTATATTTTCAAGGGACCGAAATTAATTATTGTAAATGCTTTTTCGTCTTTCTTTATGTTTGTCTCTGCTGGAGTCCCTCAGGTTTCATTACTGGGTCCTCTGCTCTTTGTTATAAATATCAAGTCTCATTGGTGCTACTACTGTTTTATTACAGTCGATTGTTTACTTGTTTAGCAAAATGTTTAGTTCATAATTTTTTTCGAAGCGAGCTGAAAGCGAGCGAGCTTAAATTTTGAGTTATTTGTTTATATTCTATTTATCCCAGAATCATTGCTTATGTATGTTTAATCTATATTTATTATTAATTATGCTTATTATTCTTATATCTTGACTTAGTTTTAGATCCAACTTACAATTTTCCTACTTTTTAAACCTTTCCCTATTGTTGCGTCCAAGATGAAACCTTTAAATGATTTATCTTAATACAAGTGAAATTATGCCTTGTTTGAGTTAATTTAATAGTCCGGTACTTTATTCATTTTCTTTTGTTACACCTTATCAAAAATCCTCTGCTGGAAATTTGCCTCAGTTTGCAACCGTAGCTTTATATTATAATATAGACTTGTTATCAGGAAGATGTTTTTGCCTATTTCCTGTTTAAGCATGTTATTTGCATCTTACGACACTCACGGTACGATATGAGGTAGTGGATTTTCTTACGCCGCCACTACACGTTACGGTCTGGTACATTGGAATTTTTGTGACATTTTTCGATTTTTAATTGAATATAAAAAATTATGTTTTACTACATATTAAGGTGATATATTTGCTTACGACAGATTTTATTATCTATCGAAGAAGGCTGAAAACTACAAGCAGTTGCTCAGGAAGCCTCGGCAGCGGCGCTCCACTCGCAACCCGCCGCGGCCCGCACCCGAGCCCGAGCTGCCCTCTGGCGTGCTCACTCGCCTGCAGCGCTCGCAAGGTACACGCGCACGCACACTGGCACACACACATACTCAGACATACAGACCGAGCCCGAGCTGCACGCACACTGGCTCACACACACACAGCGTTTCCATTCGCAATTCGCCGCACACCGCACCTGCTCTCTACATAGTTTAAAAAATTGTTACAGATTTTTAGGTAATCATTATATTATTAATCTAAAATAATGATCTTTTTTCTGCCACTGGGGCGACACAACTTGGGAATTAGTGAAAGTTAACGTTAAAAGTTAACTTAAAAAGCGTAGTAATTAATGTATCTTTCTGAAATATTAATTATGTTTTTATTAATATGATTAGAAATAAATAAACCCAATTACGGATATACCTTAAGGTAGCGTAATTAAAAAAAAGTTAAAATTGTGTAAGAATTTAAAGAGCACATCACTGGGGTGTTGTTTTGTGTATATACTAATACATACACAAGAAACCTGTGCGACTATTTACGTAACTAATAAGTTCAGCTTAGTCCCAACCAGCGACATCTGGTGAGCGTAAGAATATTAACCCTTATTGCCTGTGGATCTATTTATTTGTAGACGGTATTTATATCGATATATTTTAACATTTTATGCATCCCGACGCAGGCACATCTGTGCGGTCGACGGATTCGAAGGAGACGGGCGGCGAGGAGATGACGGCCGAGCAACTCAACCTCATCCCGGTACCGCCGCAGCCGCAACCGCAGTTGGACCAGTCGCTGGAACAAGGAGTACACATGCAACAGGAGTTACAGTTGCAGCAGGAGCAGCAAATGCAGCACGATCAGCAAATGCAACAATGCCAACAGATGCAACAGGATCAGCAACTACAGCAAATGCAGCAGGGCCCGCCGATGCAGCAGGGTCCATTACCAGACTCCACGCTGCAGATTATGCAAACCGCAGAACCAGCACAACCGCCAGAGCCTGCCAGGTATGTCTTGCTAACACTACTGAACATAGGCCGCCCCCAAGGAACGCCACAAAGCACGGTCCTGAGCCACCTGCATCCATGGACTTCCTGTATGTTCTAGTGGGGGGCGCCCTACAGTTCGTCCCCCAGTGATACATAATAACATGATAAAAATGCCTTTCAGATTAATTTATCCACAACTTCCGGATATGAACAGTGCTTACAGTGGATTTGCGTTAATCACAACGATTTTCAAACGGCTTGACGATTGCATCATAAGACGTGTTGCACCTAAAAAGCTACTTTCCTTCATCAGTATATTTATATTCTTGTAAGATTCGAGATCTATTCCGTCACTTATCCTTACGAATATATTTATGTGTATTTGAGATATAATCGGATAATGGATTCTTCTTAACATAAATTAATTTAATTAGCGCAGTGAAGGTTACTCACTAGATGGAGTCACGACTTCTGAGTTAGGGAATCAGCTTATTTTTTTATCAGGGTTTTAATTAGGTTATGAACTTAGGAATTCTTGTTGAGCTTTATGTTGTGAAAGCTTTGAAGACTATGAATAAAAACTATTATTACATACTATAATCTAAAATTTACAAGAAATCGTTACTAGAATTAGTTACGGAGTGAGAATTGTAAAGGATTGAAATTTTAGTTGGAGTGTAAACTTAGCCAAATCTAAGTTTCACTTTTGTTACCCCTCACATATTATAATCATTGATTTATCGGTATATTAATATTCTTGTATTACAAAATCAATGGTAAGTAATATCTTGAAATGCTATTATTGACGATAACAAGAGAGGGTCATATTCAGCAATAAACTTTCAAGAGCTAATGAAAAAATGGAAACGTAATATTTATTTGATGCTGCTAAATCCCCAATATTAACAATAATCGAATCCTTTATTTACACGCTATTCTTGGTTATATTTATACATAAACGATTTACAGACTAATAAAATACCTAGCATGTATTGAAACTAGATATTACCCAACTATACAAAGCAAATAAGTCTGATTAGTAAAAAGTCTAGTTTACTGAAAAGATGGCACGTTAACATATTATATTATAATGAATAAATTTAAAAAAAAATTATTAAATTTCGATTGAATATTAGTTTTTAAAACTGCATAAAATCGAAACATTTGAATAATCAACAATTGAGAAAAAGTAGATTTAATTTTTTCCATGTTGTGTCTCGGTTGGACCTCTTTTAACTTTGAACAGCGTTCAGTTTTAATGTCTATACAAAATTTAACTTAAAGTCTTATGTTGTTTTGTCTTACGTATCTTGATCAAAATGATATCATGAATGAATATTAATTTCCATTCATTGAATATGTTGATGGGTGTTCCAGAGGGGCCGATCCTTGGTCCACTACTTTTATTAGATTATATAAATGATCTTATTAAATTTAGATGAAACATTTTTCGTTACAATCACATCTTTTGGTTTGTGCAAATAAAACGGAAACGGATTTCTTTCGCTATTCTTAAAATAAACATTCCGAGATTCTATTTATAAGTTAAGGTCTAATACACCCAATGGTACCCTGAATATTATTATCAATCAAACTGTTTTTTTTGTAAAAACTGAAGTGTCGAATAAACTTCAGTCCACTTGATGATAAGTGATTATCGCAGTCCTTGGACATGTACAGCCAAGTATATTCAAAGAAGTTTACCTTACAGGAGGAATGCCTTACAGCTTGTAATAACATACATACATAAATAAACACTCACGCCTGTCACCCAGAGAGGTAGGCAGAGACTACGAACTTCCATTTGGCACGATCCTGACATACCTCTTGCGCCTCCTTTACATCCATATATCTACGCATACGTGCTCGTCGGTTAATGGTACTTCTAACGTGGCCCATTTTCAAAATATCGCCAATTTGATCGATAAACTTTTTTCTAGGGCGTCCCTTCCCGACTCTAATAAATAAATAATAATACACTAATAACACTGGCTCTGTATACACTTCACATGGGAAAACAGCTGTGCAGGCACTGCTATTTGTTGACAGAAGTGGGTAAGAGGGTCGTACCTTCCCAGGCGGACTCTTAAGCTGAAATAGCCTACCATCTAGTGAACTTCAAGCAAGCTTGTGAGAAAACATGCACAGTTGACAGATATTTTTTTTAGTTCGCGTTTTTAAATCATAGTTTTCTTTAATTTTTCCGTAAAGAAATGACGCCTCCATCATTAACATACAGAAACAGTATGAGGTCGGTTATAGTTTTAGATATGTGTGTTTCAATTTATTTAGCAAATGCTTGAAAAGAAAACTTACCGATGCGATGGTTGAATCTTAAAAAATGCTTATAAATATTTAAAATATCCAGGTAAGAACATTTGGAAAGCTATGTTAAATATTGAGAGAAATTTCTTGTCCCAACTTCTTGATAAATTTAGAGATCAAAATATAAATTCAATGAATAAGCATAAGAAACAAGTCTCGCAGAGAGAAAATATGGTTTTAAAATGTAATTAATCTACAAATAAACTTCATATTGACAATTTCTGAATCACAAAATAAATAAGTACGATTGTAAATAAAAAAACACCACTACAGTTTGTTTATATGAATATAATTAAATACGATTCCCGCAATAATATCGTTAAAATGTACTCTTGGGGGGAAAACAAACATTACTTTCCGCGATTCCGCCAATACGTGATGTTATTGAAAGGAAATATAAATTGGCACACGGATCGGGCCCACAACAAGGCGGCCGGCATCTCGCCGCTGGGAGCTGAGAGCTGGGCTTTTTAATTACGCCGTGTCAACACACGCCCGCGCCCGCCCGCTCTATGAATTATTCACCGATTGCCCGGAGATGAAGTGACTGCTTGGAGGTCCGCGGAACTCTCGAAAAACCACACCGAAACACGTGTCGTAGGATGATTGTTATCTTAACCTACGGACATATTTAATATCCACGTAGGTGAATTTCAGGCCTTCGTAGAGCTTTTTTGTTTTAATTTCTCAGACATGCAAGACTCCCGAGCACGTGATAAATCAGCACTTGTAATTGCAATTAACAATTTCATTGGTGACGGCGGGGATCATATCCGGCTCTCATACTGTCAATTTTACCGCGAGTAGTGTTGAATACATTTTAGCAGTCAGGCGACTGCCAGAGCTTCGTTTAACATCATACCGTCAACATTCATCGCTCTCAAACGTTTATATTCTACGGGTTGCGGAGACATAAGTCGTAGTTGCTACTCGGACCACGTTTAGCCAAAAAATGTGCGTTTAGGTGAAAAATTGTGAAAAATGGTGATATGCTAGGCTAGCCCTACACACGTCCATTATTATATAATTTAGTATTAAATACACCGTCCATTATTATTTAATTTAGTATTAAAATAATGTCCTACTAAGACGACGTAACAATGAAGGACGAACGAAAAATAAGACAATAAGTTGAACTATCGATGAATTAGGTACTGTTTATGTATTGTACGAATATGAATTCCATACGAAGAAAAAGCATAATATGGAACCGCAATTACTTATTTTTTATGTCAAATCAAACAGTCTTGTAGTTTAATTATATTATGTTAAAGTCGAAATTAAAAAATTAGGTATTCAATCGCGCAACTAAACAGTTCCGTAACAAATAATAACTGCATTTTGTCTGTACGGAGCCCTTACAGTTTATGCTCTGTAATTTTTTTCCGCTCTCTCGAGTTCTCGACTTTTTATCTTGTTTGTACTCGTACTTCTCTGATGCTGTATGTCTTCGAATGGATAAGAAATCACGTTATGTTCTTATTTTTGGAGTCCCGAGATTTTTAAATAAGGTATTTGCTTATCTAAGGAACGGAATAAAATTAGCTTGCTGCATATTGCGGATTATGATATGTATTCTTGATTTTTTTATATTTAGTACGTTGTAGAGCCACGCTGCAGCTGTATTATGGCTGCAGCACGTATAGTCTCGATCGGGGAAGGTCCCAAGGTCGCACAGAATACTCGTACCAGCGTAAATAGCAACTAAATGCCACTGCGTTTTGTATGGTGAGTGTGAAGAACCGGATACCTTTAACTTCAACGAGACATTCTGTCTTAGTCGTCAGAGGCGTCATAATATGTATTTAGATTCTTAATAAATGATAAATGTAGGCTTCTGGGCCACAGCATTAACCACCAAGTGGGTTGTGTAACAGTCTAACTACTACTCACAGTGTCATAGTCGGTCAACGTCATCGAAGTCGAAGGCACTAGGCGGTTGCGGTGCGGGTCGAGACGCGGATGGAGCGCTCCCGAGCGGCCATTAGTCACTCGGGAACTGTCCACTAGGTTTGTCCTGACACGGAAATAAATTTAAATGGTTCACCCTATATGTGCGGTAAAAAACCGTGGGTCGTCCTCATTCAAAGATAAAGAGTTAAAGTTTCATTAGTTTCCACATACACAGGATTTTGTTTAAACGTGAAATAAAATAAAAGCAGTTTTTTTATTACTTCCCGTTCTGACAATCCTAGCAATTTATTATTTATGTCGGCTTTACCGAAAACATCAAACGAAATAACAGACTGTATGTTCTTAGACTGTGGTTATGTGAACGTTTGTCAACCTTACTTCTATAAAAAATATTGAAGTAATTGCCTAAATACTTCATAAATTTAGGATTCATAATCATTGTACTATATCGTTGAGCACATTTCTGTCTAGTTCATTTTAAACCACGTTGTACCTTTTCGATATGGAAAATATTTTAGATCTAATCTTACTAAAACTTTCAAAAGGCTTACCAAAACGGCCGCTTGTTTTCAAAACAAACCCGGGCCTTCGCAGTCGGAATTCGGAGTGCGGGCTTGTTTGCTCGCCACTCACTGTTATGAGATCACAGGCTCCATTTTTCATCTACAAATTAATCGTTTAAAATTCACAATATTATTTCTGCCCCTCTGCCTCGTTCGAGAAAGATAAGAAGTTTTCTATCAATTTCATTGAAAGTAAATCAAAATTTCCAATTCAAT